ATTCATTCTAAGTTTCAAACTCAAAACATCTAATATAAAAACTTAAATCATTAATTATTTAAATATCTCCATAAGTGATAAAATTACAATTTTTGATTAATCACTTACAACAAGGGGAGTAATTTGAAACAACTTCAACTGTAAGAAAGTAAAAATTCCATGTATTATATGTTAAATGGGAAGAACCATTAAGGTTTTCTTTCTTTCTTCTTTTTAAGACTATTGCTTTTGCTTCTAAAAAAAAAAAACACCAAGATTAAAGTCTGTATTGGCCTAGTAATTCTTCAAATTGACATCTATGTGTCACTCAATAATCACATTTCTTACCCAATATGAGATTTGAAGTATCACAATTTCTATCACTCTCACTTTGATTTCAATCATTCTCAAAGTGAAATTCTTTATACCATCTAATGCTTTGTATATCACTTCCATGCAACTCTTACATAAACATAAGTTATTTTACTTGTCAAAAAATGATGCACCAAATTGTTTTATAGATATCATATTCCTTTATTTTTGTTTTTCAAATTAAAGTAATTAGCAGCACTACCTACCCAAGTTTTTTTAGCCTCTTAGTTAGTTTGAAAGGACCTTAGTGTGAACAATGATTCAGTATAAAGAAAATCTTATAATCAACTTCAACACTCAAACTTATTGGCATCATCAACTTGAGTACTTTGGGAGGATATGTTAATTGTATAGGCTTAAGACATAATTCCAATGTAATATATTGTTATAATTTACTAAATGGCAAAACGCGGATGCGCCGCAATCAAGAGAAAGACTACCTTCTATTCTATATATGTGCTTGACCTTATACTAAGATGCCTTGATATGCTTGGGTTCACATCATATCTATAGAATACTGTTGACCCAATTATCTACATGTTATAATTAAGAAAAAGACCAAAGTTGCTACGATGTCTATAACCAATGAATTGAAATTTCCAAGTGGACCATATCCAGAACATATAATCTTTGCAGCTGGTCAAATATGAATGAGTCAACTCTTATATCGGCAATAATAGTTATTTTTTGAAAATAGGTAATGGAGCAATAATACAGTTATAATAATATATAGAATTATAAATAGTATATTACTAAATGGATGATTCATGTTATATCACAAGTGTATTAATAAATAAAATTAATTAATTATATAATGATATTTCTTGATTAAAAGTTTTTTTAACCTTATAACCTGCATCCTATGAATATATTTTTAAGTATACACATGCACCAGACTCCACATTTGAATATTTCCACGAAAGCAGCGCATTACGCCGAAAATAGTGACCCAGACAACGCCTTCAGCTGGCCATATACTACACTATAAATACAAGCTCCCTCTGCAGTCTCAAACCATCTTCATTTCATTCTCAATTAATTCCTTCTGCTTACCACGTCTTTGCCATCTTAAGTGTTTTTATTCAGCTTACTACATCAAGTTTAAACTTGAGTTTTCATTTTGCACGAAAATGGCTAGTGCACTGAACAAAGCTGCTGCAATGGTGTCCTTGATGATGATGCTTTTGAGCATAACATGTCAAGCACAGCTTTCTTCTACATTTTATGCAAACACTTGTCCTAATGCACTTAGCACTATTCGGACTTCCATTAGATCTGCTATTGCAGCTGAGCGCAGAATGGCTGCCTCTCTGATTCGCCTTCATTTCCACGATTGCTTTGTGCAGGTATACATCATCTATCCATTTTATTCAATAGTTACAAGAAAGAAGAGATAATATCGTAGGAGCAATTACTTAACCAAGTTCCTTTTTTGAGTCCAGGGATGTGATGCCTCGATTTTACTAGATGATGCTGCCTCCATCACTAGTGAGAAAACTGCAGTGCAGAATGATAATTCTGCAAGAGGTTTTGAAGTTATTGACAAAGCCAAAGCTGAGGTAGAGAAGGTGTGTCCTGGAGTTGTATCCTGCGCAGATATACTAGCAGTTGCAGCAAGAGACGCATCCGAATACGTGAGTATACCCATGATTAACTCCTATTCTACATCTTTTTATGAGGATTGTAAAGAAATCTAATAAAATTTCCTCAAAAATATCAGGTAGGTGGTCCAACATGGGCAGTTAAGCTTGGGAGAAGAGATTCTACCACTGCAAGCAAGAGCCTAGCTGAGAGTAATCTCCCCCGTTTCATAGATGATCTTCCTAGGCTCATTTCTCTCTTTGGAAACAAAGGCTTGAGTGCTAGGGACATGGTTGCTTTGTCAGGTTCTCATACAATAGGACAGGCTCAATGTGCCACATACAGGAGCAGGATATATAACAATGCAAGCGACATTGACGCAGGATTTGCAAGTACTCGCAGACGCAATTGCCCTGCCAATATTGATCAAGGTAACACTAACTTGGCACCACTTGATTTGGTAACTCCTAATTCCTTCGACAACAACTACTTCAAGAACCTACTGCAAAAGAAAGGCCTCCTCCAATCTGATCAGGTGCTTTTCAGTGGTGGATCTACTGATAGCATAGTTTCTGAATACAGTAAAAATCCATCAACTTTCAAGTCTGATTTCGCAGCTGCCATGATCAAGATGGGAGATATAGACCCACTGACTGGATCAAATGGGATCATAAGGAAGGTCTGCAGTGCAATAGCCTAAAATTAGTGAAAAATGAAAGTTTCCTTTGATAATTTTTTATGTTCATTCAATTTGTTGTGAGTTAGCCTCTACATTTAATTCCTTCAAATGTAAAAAAAAGTTGTGTCCTCCAATTTTCTTAATAATAATGAAAATTCCCTTTATGATGATTTCATCCTATCTCTTTTATTATTATTATTATTTTGAGTTTTACAATAAACAACTTTTTATATCTTTTAATTATTTTATTTGCATGTCATATTATTTTAACTTAAAATCTTTTATTCTGCATAAAGAAAATAACCACAAGATTGATTAGATTATTACAATGTTAATAGTGTGAAAATTTAATATGCATAGAATCCTATAATTAATTGTCATCAAGCAATCTTATGTCTAAAGAGAAATAATTTCAATAACCTTCGGTTATAATAAAAGGCAAAACACGGATGTGATGACCATGATCAAGAGGAGCAACAACTTTTGCCCTTAGATTGTGTGAATAAGCTTTCACCTTTAGGAAAGATAAGGTAACAACATTAGTAGAAAGAATAGTCCAAAAGTGATCCACAAATTAGTGCAGCGACCTCCTACCAAAACAAAGGAGATGTTAGTGTGAAGAGTTTTTACTTTATTTATTTAATTATTTTTTTGAGTTGTGTACCAATGTTGCTTAACATTATGATTTGTATATTATATTATTTAAATTTAATACATTTTGTTTTTACTAAACTCCACAAAGCTACCTAACTTATTGGCATTTTAGTGTGGACAAAATTTTTTTTTTAATTTTAATATTAAGTTATATATCAAGAATAATTGTTTCTTTTTAGAGTTTTTTTTTATTCACCTTGAAATTTAATTAATATTTGAGATTTTTATTATGAAAATTCAATTTCTTAATAATTCTCTTCACAGACAATGTGAACAGTTAGTATGCATCGAATTCTATGTTTAACCAACGTCATAAAATATGGGTTTAAAGAGAATTTATTTCGATAATCTTTGTTTATAATAGAAGACAAAACACAGATGTGATGGCCATGATCCAGAGAAAGACGACCTCCTTATCCTTCTATCCTTTTACTAGATGCGTGGACGCTAGTGGGTTCACATCATATATATGGATTAGTATAAAATATTGTTGACCATATATGATAAATAAGAAAAAACCAAAAGTTGTAAAAATCCGTACATACAATATCCATTTAAACGAATTGACATTTCCAATTTCCAATTTCCATGGCCAGAAGTAACAAAACGTGCGCTGCTGGTCAAATATGAATGAGTCAATTCATAGTGGAATTATGCAGTGGACTCCACATTTGAATATTGCGAATACCTGCATATGAAAGCAACCCCTTAGGCCTGCAAATAGTGACCCAGACAACGCCTCCACCTAGCCATACACTGCACTATAAATTCATAAGCAAAAACCAATATTTAGCCCTTCACCTTACAAAATTGATAAGTTTTAGTCCATCACTTTATAACATGACAATTTTAACCTTTTATCTTACAAAATTAATAAGTTTTAACCCCTCACCTTACAAAATTAGTAGGTTTTAATCCTTTACCTTATATTATGATATTTTTAACTTATTATTGATACAAATCAAAGAAAATAACCCTCACCTAATATATATCAGGTTATAATGTTCTGTTTGTTCTGTTAGTTGACTGATAACATTTGTTAGTATTCCGTTATAAAAAAATATAAAATTTTAGTTTAATTTTATTTGTTAGTTTCATTAACGGAATGTTAACGGATGCTAACAGTCAATTAACAGAACTAACAGTCAACTAATAAAACTAACAGTCAATTAACAGAATTAATAAAATATTAAAACCTGATATTAAATAAGGGTGATTTTCTTCAATTCATACAAATAAAGGGTTAAAAGTATCATAATATAAGGTGAGGGGTTAAAACGGTTAAAACCTACCAACTTTGTAAGGTGAGGGTTAAAACCTACTAATTTTGTAAGGTAAAAGGTTAAAAGTGTCATATTATAAGGGTTAAGGACTAAAACTTATCAATTTTGTAAGGTGAGGGGCTAAATGTTGGTTTTAGCTAAATTCATAATGGAATTATGCAGCAGACTCCACATTTGACTATTCCGAATACCCGCACATGAAAAAGCAATCCCTTACGCCTGCAAATAGTGACCCAGACAACGCCTCCACCTAGCCATATACTGCACTATAAATTCAAGAGCACACTACGTTCTCAAACCATCTTCATTTCCTACTAATTCATTCTGCTTGTGTCAAGTGTTCTTCTTCAGTTTATTGCATCAGATTTAAACTTAGAGTTTTTATCTTGTAAAAGTAAAAATCAACCAAAGAAAATGGCAACTGCAGTGACTAAAGCTGCTGCAATGGTGTCGATGATGATGATGCTTTTGAGCGTAACATGCCAAGCACAGCTTTCTTCTACATTCTATGCAAACACTTGTCCAAATGCACTCAGTACTATTCGGACTACCATTAGATCTGCTATTGCAGCTGAGCGTAGAATGGCAGCATCACTGATTCGCCTTCATTTCCATGACTGCTTTGTTCAGGTACTTATTGTATATCCATTTCATTCAATAGTAATTAGTTATAAGAAAGTATATCATAGAAGCAAACAAATATTTACCTAGTATTTTTTTGAGTCCAGGGATGTGATGCCTCGATTTTACTAGACGATGCTCCGTCCATCATTGGCGAGAAAACTGCATTGCAGAATAATAATTCTGCAAGAGGTTATGAAGTTATTGACAAAGCCAAAGCTGAGGTAGAGAAGGTGTGTCCTGGAGTTGTATCCTGTGCAGATATACTCGCAGTTGCAGCAAGAGATGCATCCGAATATGTGAGTATACATACGATTTACTCCTATTCTACATCATTTTATGGGGATTGTAAAGAGATCTAATAAAATTTCCCCCTTAAACATATCAGGTAGGCAGTCCAACATGGACAGTTAAGCTTGGGAGAAGAGATTCTACCACTGCAAGTCGAAGCCTAGCTGAGAGTAACCTCCCCCGTTTCACAGATGATCTTGTTAGCCTTGTTTCTCTCTTTGGAAACAAAGGCTTGAGTGCTAGAGACATGGTTGCTTTGTCAGGTTCTCATACGATAGGACAGGCTCAGTGTGTCACATTCAGAGATAGGATATACAACAATGCAAGTGACATTGATGCAGGATTTGCAAGCACTCGCAGACGCAATTGCCCTGCCAGTACTGATCAAGGCAACACTAACTTGGCACCACTTGATCTAGTAACACCCAATTCCTTTGACAACAACTACTTCAAGAACCTGCTGCAAAAGAAGGGCCTCCTCCAATCTGATCAGGTGCTCTTCAGCGGTGGATCCACTGATATCATAGTTTCTGAATACAGTAGGAATCCGTCAACTTTCAAGTCTGATTTCGCAGCTGCCATGATCAAGATGGGAGATATAGACCCACTAACTGGTTCAAAAGGGATCATAAGGAAGGTTTGCAGTGTGGTGGCCTAAAATTTGTTAAAACTGAAAGTTTCCTTTGATAATTGTTGATGTTTGTTCAGTTTGTTGTAAATTAGCCATTACATTTAGTTCTTTCAAATGTAAAAAAAATTTCAGATGATCTCCATTTTTCTTAATAATAATGAAAAATTCCTTTATGATGAAAAAAAAGAAGATGCAATCTTAGTATCCTAGCTTCTCATTTGTATATCTCCTCAATTTTTTTAGGCGCCAAGCATCATGCAGGATTTTTTTTTTTTCTTTTGGATTTAAGATTCTATAATAAAAAACAATTTTCTTATATTTCTTAACATATCTCATCTACATACCATATTCTAAGTTACAACGTTTTTTTTGATACAAAAGTTACAACGTTTTACTACTATAAAAAAAATAAATGAAAGGTTGCTTAGGCTGTTAATGTGAACAATTTTTTTATTTTACCAAAGAAAAATTTATTATTTATAAATGAAATAAAGTACAAGCAGTAATCCTACTCATTACAATTTATAAGCTAAAAACAGAGCTAATACAGTGCCGCCATTACAAGAGTGCATTAAAGACAAATCATCCAAAAGTAGTCAGAGATATCCTACATGCTTCTGCTGGAGATGAGAACCAAATTTCCTTTGCAAGATTTGGATACAAAGCGGCTCTAATCCAATAGAAAGATCGCAATTTTATTAAATCAATCACCTTTGGAGAGTCGAATCCCTTCTTAAAAATCAACTGATTCCTCCATAACTACATCCACCACAGAACCGCGAACCAAACTACAGTCCACACCTCTTTCAAACTCCAGAATGTTAAGCGTGAACTTTTTTCAATTTTTTTTTTTTTTTTTGAATGTGGAAAAATTGGGAAAATATGGAGAATTTTCCAAATTATCGGTGGGAGTAGAATTCTAAATCAATGAAACCCAAATACTTAGACTTGGAACGGATCATTGGGCCGAATTAGTATGCAAAGACCAATAATTAATCGACATCAAACAATATTATGTTTAGAGAGAAACAATTTCAATACTCTTTGGTTATAATAAAAGACAAAACGCGGATGTGATGACCATGATCCAGAGGAGCAACAACTTTTGCCCTTAGATTGTATGAATAAGCTTTCACCTCTAGGAAAGAAAAGGTAATAACATTAATAGAAAGAATGCAAGTCAAAAGGTGATACACAAAGTTGGGAAGCGAACTCGTACCAAAACCACAAGGAGATGTTTGTGTGAAACATTTTTTTTTTCTTTTAAGATTGTATAAAAAAATATAATATCTCATATCTCTATTTAAATATTATGTTATTTAAATTTAAAAATTTTTATT